GTCCTGAGTGAAGGCTGTAGATTCAGAAAACTTCCAGGGCCTTGTGAAGCTGCAGTGCCCAGTGTTTCTCGGGCTGCAAGCTTTGGTGGGGGCATTTTCGGGCCGGGTTGCAGGCTCTGTGCTGTTTATATTGCTTTTCTTGTGCATGTGTGCATTCATGTGTGTGTGTGTGGGGGTACATGTGTGTGTATGTACCATAGTATATGGAGGCCATAGATTGATATAGGAAGTCTCAATTACTTTCTACTCTTTTTATCATTTAAAAAAGTTTATGTGTTTTATGTGTATGGGTGTTTTTCTTGCATGCTTCATGGGCCAGAATTCTCTCAGAGCCCCTCCCTCATGTCTTTTCATGATGTTAATAATGTCCCCTCTGAACCCCAAACCCAAGACTTCTTAGTGACTGTTTTTGCTCTTTATTCCTTACTTAGAGCTTATATACATTTTAATACTTGGTAGGGATTTTGGTGCTTTGCCCCATTCAGTTTATAATAGCTCTTAATACATTAATGCACTAATGCTCTCTCTTATTTATGTAAGATATGTTTTAATTTTTTTATATATCTGTGAGACAGGGTCTCACTGTGTAGGCCTGACTGTCCTGAAATTCCCTATGTCAGCTAGGCTGACCCTGAACTCACACAGATCCACCCCTCTGCCTCAGTAATTTCTCAGTTTTTGGTTGTAGAACCTGGTGATAAAATCATTTTTCTTAAAGTTTTGATTTTTACAACTTTTTTTGTTTGTTTTTGGCCCTTTTTTTTTTTTTTCAGTCAGGGTCTCTCTGTAGAGCTCTGCCTGTCCCGGAACTCACTATGTCTGCCAGGCCAGCTGCTTCTCCTCTGCCTCCCGAGTGCTGGAATAAAAGTGTGTGCCACCACCACCCCACAAGTTATCTCATCTTTGTTATCAGGTAACCACTAACTGTAATAATACACTAAGTTTCTGGGTAATAAAAATGCATTTCGACAACTCTTAGCTTTACCAAACTCACATTTGATGAGATTGATATTTATACAGTCCATTTGTTTTCTGCCCCTAGCTCTCATGGTATGGATGTTTCTTTCTGGAGTCCTTCCTAGAACCTCATTTTTATCCTGATTATATAATGGTATAAAGTCTGAGCTTTTAATGTTCTTTAAGCTTCATGATATCTATCACATCTTTGTGGGAATATCTTTGATACTACAGCAGAGTGACTTCCTCGTTGTCAACAGGCATTCTTAGCATCTGTCTTTCTACAGTCTTCAAAGGAGACTTTTCCTCCATCTGCCAAATGAAACTGTCCATCTGCCTCATCAGTAACTGAATTAGGCAATAAGGATCTGAAATTCTTCATCAGTAGTTGAACAGATGTCCTTGTTGTATGAATGTGCATCCTTTGGGTATATGCCTAAGAGTGGAATTGCTGGATCTTGAGGTAGACTGATTCCCATTTTCCTG